TGCTCAAAGACCCGCCCTGGTCCAACCAGCCTCTCCTCTCCCGTACTGCCGCCTACACGTCCCACGGGGAGGAACCAGATGGAGTCGGACAGCCCTGGGCAGATCCTGCAGGACGCTGTTGCCCTCGTCCTCAGCCAGAGCAAACGCGGGATGCTTGGCACACGGTGCCAGCCCCTGGCTGGGGCAGCACCCTGGCTTTCTTCTCCGGAGGACTTGGGCATGACCGGCATCCACCCCTCTTCCTGCAAATACCAGGACCACTGCTGGGCCCTCCCAGGACCCGCATTGCTCCAGATCGTTAGAGGAAGCACCAAACCTACGGCGGGCCACGACGGCAGCCCAAGGGGCACCGCTTCTGCCCGGCAGAAAGCGCCCACCCAAGAAGCCTGCACAGATAGAGGGGTTCAAGGCAGCAGCCTCCTCTCGGGGTCACGGGCCGCAGTGGTGGAAGAAACCTCTGTCCCCAGGCACCAGGGACCTGCAGCGCTGCCCCAGCCTTCCCAAGGCTCCTCCACTTGGGTGCAGCCTGGGTGCCAGAGAATCAGATGGCATTTCTTGCACATCCACAGTTACGTTCCAGGTGTTAGCATGGCAGAAGAGCTCCGGGGCCCTACGCTGCTGTCTCCAAATGCCTCCTGCCAGAGGGTCCAGCTGGGCTCTCTTCGCTTCTGTCATCTTCAAGTCAGCTTCAATTAGCCCTTCCTTACCCATCTGCTGCTCACAGGAGCGAGACGGAGCCCAGCTGGCCTTCCTCGAACAGGAGGAGGACTGCGAGAGGAACACAGGGCTCAGAGGGGGAACACAGGAGGGTTATCTTTGATGGTCTCAGTTCTGGGCATGAGCGAGGCTGTTGCTCCTCCAGCCCTGTCCATCAGAGATGCCGGCCATGCACAGGCACAAGCCAGTGCTTTGAGGAGAGAGCTCCAAGCTGCTCATCTGGCAAACGCTAGCCTTGCTTGGCTCCTCTCCCTCAAGCTGGCTCGTCCCCGCTCTCACAGATGGCCCGTGACCACTTGGCTCTGGAGCAGCTCTCCAGGCAATCAGACAGGGCTGAGCGGAGGAGCAAGACCTCCCTGATGCAGGAATGACCAGAGACCATGGCGATTGTTTGCACAGATCGATCAGTGACTACGTAAGCCAGCTGGTGGTCGAGTCACCCAGTTCTCCCTCATGGAGGGAGCAAGGAGCCAAGGCCAAGCTGCCTAGTCAGGGCAAGCTGTAGGTAAGCGAAGCAGCAAGATCTTCGCAGCTGATCTAGGAGCTGAGCGGCTCTCAATCACAGAGGTTTGTTGTTTCTGCTCTTAAGCACTTGGGAAGGCATTGCCTGCACTACCCAAGCACTTGCCAGTAGCAGTGCACCGCGGCACCTCCTCACTTGCCAGTGCACTGAGCCAGACTCTGCCCATGAGTCAAATCAGCCTTGCTCAGCTCACCCCAGCACAGCAAAACCAGAATACAGCTGAGCAAAACACCCCTGCTTCCATCAGAGCCGCTCGGGAGGCAGAAGCACGGAGAGGGAAGAGGGAAGGGGCAGGGTACCCACCTGAGCTCCGCCGGTGATGGGGATGATGCACGTCAGGAGGTTCCCAATGACGTTCTCCAAGGACACACTTAGTCCATCCACGTAGATGGTATAGATCAAACCCAGGCTGTTCTGGAGAGGAAAGCACAGCACAGCTGAGCATCAGGGTGCACCACAGACGCGTACGGGTGCAGCTGGGGAAGCTCTCCAGTTCGGAGCACCGTCACATGGAGGGGCTCCCACTGCTTGTCTCTGGACAGACAGAGCTCTGACAGTCAAATCGTGGGTACGGCGCTCGAGGTCTTCCCCCTCAAACCTCTCACAGCGAGTGATATTTAGCATGGGCCCAGTTTGTTTCCAGGCAGCAGCACCTCCCCACCCCAGCACTGGCCCCAGACGTGTGCCCCGGGCAAGAGCTCAGCAGGAGCAGCGCGGAGGGGGTTCAAAAGCTCCTCGGGCAGAGGTGACTGAAAACAGCTGGACTTCTCCAGCAACCCCAAGCACTCTCAGTCCCTGCAGATTTGCATCAGGTCTCCCAAAAACCCCAAGAAAGGGATGGGAGGGAGCCCCACATCTCGACGAGGGCTGGCTGAGACACCCGGTCACGCTGTGCTCTGCCCGAGCCAGGCGCATCTGGGAAGCCCAGAGGGGCTTAGGGGGCACAGCCTTCAACTTAATACACCAACGAACAAGGAATTTGAAGAATTTGTCTTCAAGGCACCCTCTGGGTGTTTTGTTTTTTAACTCAAACCATGTCCCCATGTCAGTGAGGAAAAGAGAAAACACAAATACTGGGGCTTTGGCGAGAAGGGGTCAGGCGGGCTACTGCATGCTGGAATAGCCAAGGGAAGAGCAAGCTCAGGCTCCTGCACGTTCCTGAACGGCGGTGAAGGCTCCTGGCGTAATGCAGGTACGGCTCGACCTCACCCTGCGCAAGAAGCAGACCCTCAGTCCAGCATCGTGCTGACCAAGAGGACCAAGAGGTCCAGGTCTTGGGCTACAGAGACCTCTAATCAGAGAAGAGAAGGAGCCACAACAACCCGAGTCTTGTGCTGGGCAAGTAACAGGCTGCACTTCAGATTTAGCCAGGGAAGTCCATCCGTTCACCCAAAGGGCAAAGGCAGGGTTTCCACCCGCTGCCCTTCTCCTGGCAGGGCCAGGGAACAGCAACGGGAGAGGCAAACCATGTCCTGCCATGATCTGAGCCCGAAGGCAGGGCTCCCCTCAAGCAGGCCAGAGGTGCGTGGCACTCACTGTTGCGAAGCAGAGATCCTGCTCCCACGCTCGGAGCCCTTCTGGGGACACCCAGCCACATTTCTGACTTTGTGTCACAGCGAAGGGAGAAACGACCCAAGGCCCAGAACAAGAGGACTGTAGTGCTCTTGTCGCTCACCTGTTCCTCAAGAATCACTAAGGTGAATTACCCAAGCAACTGAGCAACGAACTCAGGCAGCTGAACGTGCAGTGCAAACGTTACTGGGCCTCCCAACAAAACCAGCCAGGGAAGACGAGCTGTCAGGTACGCAAGGACCGAAAAGAGCTGGGAACCATCTCAGTGCGGATCCCAGGGAGAAGCTCTGGCAGGAAACGTCTGTCGTTTGGAAGAAGGTAGCTGACCCGCCTTCCTCCAGAGCCATCCCCAAGCACGACCGGCTTTTGCCCAGCAGGAGAGCGGCAGACACCACACCTCAGCCGACCTCCCTCTGCTCTCCCAGGCTGGAGAAAATGAACGGCTCCTCTGTTTTAGAGAAGGCTTCACGAAGGCCAGGAGCAGTACAGCCCATCCCAGATGGGAGGATGACCATACGATGCAGCTGCTTGCAACAAGGGAAAAGGACTGACGATGCCAGCTCACTCCTGTTCGTACGCTCCCTTCTATCTCGGTCTTACTGCTCCTGCTTGCCAGAAAGGAGTTGCTGTTTTACCACCACCTCTCAGCCAAGACAGGCTTGACTCAGGCTCAGACAACTTCCCCGACAAAACACCTCAAAGGGTGCAGACTATTCTACTGCGAGGGTGGCTGAACACCGGCACAGGGTGCCCAGAGAAGTACAGTCTCCATCCTCGGAGATACTCAAAACTCAACTGGACGACTGCCTGGCCAGCCTGCTCCAGCCAGCCCTGCTCGAGCAGGGGTTGGACCAGAGACCTCTGGAGGTGCCTCCACCCTCAGTTACGCGGTTTGGGGCTGTGAGTCTGCAAAGCCCGATGTTTCTGCCGTTTGAAGCAGCTCCAGGCCAGAGAACGGAGTGATTTCTTTTTCCCCTCCTGTCAGTTATGAATGCCCCGAGCACTGAACGCCCCGAGGGAACGCCATGTGCTCCCTTTCGCACAGCGGGCTGTGAACAAGAGGTTCAAGAACAGGGCAGAGCCCAGAAGTGATATCCTGGCAGTGGGAGGGCAAGCAGCCAGGACGCAGCCTGGCCCGATGGAGAACGCTGCCCTCCTGCAAGCCCAGCACCTGGGCAACCCAGCAGAGAGCCCACCGTAAACGCCGGGAGGATTCTTCCTTCAGACCAAGGGAGTGGCAAGGCAGGCAGGCTGCTCGCTCCGGAGGAGGCTGCCCGCACCCCACCTGTCCGGGCACAATGCGCACGGGGGCCGTCTGTAAACACCCCAGCTTGCAACCCGTGCCCTCCCAAACCTTTTACAGCCACATAATGCAGCACGTTGAAAGAAAATAAAGATGACAAAGATAAATACTCCCACAGGAACAGGCTGTTCGTCACAGTTTTTCTATTAACAAAACTGGGTCAAGGCCACCAGCTGCCCGGTGTGGCCAAGTCCTTGGTGTGCCGTTCTGTAGCCGGATGCAGCTGCTGACCTGGCTCGCAGCGCTGGGCCCGGACGCAAAGAGCGGG